TGTGTGTGTGTGTGTGTGTGTGTGTGTATAAATAATTATATGTAACACAGAATTGGGAATCGTTACTTTTTATAATAAATAATTTGATAATGACGTTGCAATTTTTTATAATTAAAAAACGCTAAGATTGGAAAAATCGATTTTTGATACAAACCTTAGCTTTTGATTAGTTATAAAAAACCGCAATATCATGTTTGTTATAAAAAGTAATGAAAAAAATAATGCCTTTTAACTCTGATAATACACGACATTTCAAGAAAATGCAATAGTTCTGTAAATATTTATTAGTGTTATTTTATTTTAGAGAATTTTTGTAAAGAAAATTAATTATCAATCGTTCAAAACACTAGTTAAATATTTGTGAACATAACATCCGTGGATTAGATCTTGAAATTTATATTAATAATCTATTGTTTTACTCTGTCGAAATTCTTGCAGCAATTAAAATATTTTATGTTTGAATGAAAAATAGCATGTGAATAAACTACAGAATAAATTGTAAAGAATTTTTTAAAATTAATTTTATTTTTTATTTACAAGATATTTATAATTATTTTAAGATGACACGTTTTTCGGGAGGCTTACTAAACGAGGCAAACGTAAATAAAAGTGGAAATGAGATCACACACTTTATTTGTATTCGTCATGTCTATATTATTTTGTTCAAGCGAGATTTCATCAACATTACGTACCTGGAGCATGAAAAATTTTTACAATGCCGAATGTCACTTTAACTCTAGACATTTTTAATCTATTTTTTTCTGCTTGCATTTAGAATGCATTCCCAGTAGAGTGAATCTCTACTTACGCGTGTATTAATTGCTACAAAATAATATAAAAAAAGGACTCCCGATAATTTAAATAAGTTATTAAGCGAGGAGAATCGGATAAGAAATACAGTAAGAAACATGCTAATTAAAATTTAAAATATAATTCATTCACATTTATTCGGTAATTTTTCAAAGTGACAAGTCATTCTAAAAAGTTTAGAGATTACATATACAATATATTATAAAACATTTCGACTTGTTAATATTAACATCATTATAAGCATATTTTAAATATGAGTTCATATATTTTATATTTAAAAAAAAGAGAACTGCCGAATATACAGAATCGGCAAAGGTGAGAAACCTTTACAGTTATGTATACATATTAAAATGATTTTCATGTATCTACAATATCTGAAAATTATTATATGTAAAATAATATGTACACATACATATATACATATATAAATAATTTCAATAATTTATTTATAATATAACACAAGATATATTTTGTATTCTAAATACCTCATATTGAAATACAAATTTAAGAAATGACTAAAAATAGATCTCACTTCTATGAAAGTGTGATTTATTCCGTCGGACTTCACGATTTGCTTATTTCTCTTTAGCAAACTCTGTATTTTCGATCATATATCAGTTCGAGCGTCAGAAATGGTATTAATACTTCGCCGTATTAATATTGAGAATATTCTATTCTTGATGAGATTTTTAAACAAATTATCGAATACAGATTTGACGAAAAAAAATTATTATGATAAATTCGATAAATTAATATTTCATTGCATGATGTTCTCCTGAAAATTTGCCGTTTTTTAAGCAATTATTTGCTAAATAAATAATTTCTTTCTTCAGACATCATTCTCTTGTATTTTGACGCAACAATGAAGGTTTCGGTAACTTAGTTGATTTTAAAATAGCTTATTGTTTCAAGATAAGTTTAATTTTCACATAATTTTTAAAATTTTTGAAAATTTTGCAATTTTTTCAAATTATTAAAATTGGAACTAATTATAGAACTACCAAGGAACTAATTATAGAACTATCATATATTTAAAAGAAATACTATTTTTGTAACAATGATTATCTGATAATATTTTTGCAATAATTAATGCAGAATAATTATTATACAGAAAATTAATAATAATTAAATCATATATTTTGCTATATATAATTATGTAAATATAATTTTTATGTTTTCAGAATAATGGATTTTTTGAAAATCTTTAATCTTTTCGCTTTATATTTTGCTGAAAAAATATTTGTTTAATTTTTAAATTATACGGTAATTTGATTATAGAAAGATGTTCGGCATCGTTAGGTATAGATTCTAATACGTAAAGATAGATTCGCCGGTGAGGGGCGCGATCGTATATATTTAGAAAAGTGCCTGGTTTGCCAGAACTGAGAGAGACTTACGTCTCGATGCTTCGCGTGAGATTTTCCTCCTTGGTTACTTTTTTCTTTTTGTTTTTTCCTCTTTTGCTCCTTCTCTCAATTTAACAAGAAAATCATTGTAACATTTAGGCGCAAAGCGTACATATTGTGTTATTATTTCTGGATATAACCGCGTGATTCTCTCTAGCAAATTAATTTAGACAATTGAGGTTGAAATTCTGCACTGTGAGCATGCTGAGCACCAAAATAAAAATATGACAATAGCACTTATACATATGTTAAATTTGTTAAGAAATTATATGAGCAACATATAAATCTATAATTAAATCTAAAATTAATATTAAAATTATCTTTTTTAAATTATAAGAAATGTAAACAAATATTAAAGTATTTACTAAATAGATGAATACTGGAGTATTAAATATAATTCTAAAAAATATAATGTTTAATTTTTAATTATAAACTTTTACTTTTAGATTTTTTAAAGTCTTTCCTATATTCATTTTTTTCCTATTTTTCATGTAGTTTAATGAAATCTTGACTTTCAATCCTACTTTCAATAAAATTTCAATTTATACGTAAACATTAGTGGCATATTTTGATATTGATAATTAAATAATTGCCTTTATGACTTAAAATATATTCTTTAAGGAATTAAATAGGAACTAAATAGTTAATAGAAGTCAAGGATTTTTGTAGCGTTACTTTTTTGAAATGTCAGTAAATCAAACCTAACGAAGACGGCATGGCGACACATAACTCTGTTTTCAGTCTATGATAGACCAATCGTAGACTGCAGGAGAAAAAGATAAGTAACTCGTAATTACGTCATTGCTCAAGACCCTCGTTGTAACGTTTCACGGGTGGTTTAAGGAAATATGTTTGTCAGAATATACAAAGTCATTTTACACGGCCACTCAACGTTGAGTTATGGCTATAACGTCCCCTTATATCAAGAGAAGAGACTTCTAAAATTATTACTGCAATTAAACGTCTCTTGTACGAAAGGATCGTTTCGCAAGGATGAAAGATAAATGATGTGTCTTCATTGATTTTTGCAAATCTCAATCGACGATGTACAATTTAAACTGTAATCAAATATATGTAAATGCAATTTGATCATCCTATTATCTTTAAATGTTTATCGTATCTGATTTTTACTACCGTAAAGAATTTCAGTGTAGACTGCTTATTTTCTTGTTATTTTTGTTCAACATTATGCGTCGAGTGACGATGACATTTAGTTAAACTTGACGTTTGACTAATTCAAAATAAACTAGATCTCTCATTTAATCAGGTTTCTATGATATATAATGGTGATATATAATTTGTGATACTATAATTAATTTTAATAGTAAAATTTTATATTTGTATATAATTTTATACAATAATTACGTAAAGAACCGTGCAATTTTAATTTTATATATTCGATTAAAAATAATATCAAGTTTATTAAAATTATTCCTAATAAAATATTTACTCCAGACTCAATGAATCTGTCTTAAAAATTATGTAAAACATTTCTTATATATATGTATATATGACATATGAGATTTGCGCGACTAAACATGACGACATTGACAGACTAAAAGCTTTTAAATTCCTTCGATTTCATAACATTATGGATTACTTGTTATCTATTTTGCACATTTCTCAACAAGCTGGAAAGTAATGAGATTCGATCGTTTGATTTTTATTTTTTTTTAATTTTTCTATCCAGAGGCAAGAAAAAACGTACCTCGTGTTACGCGCGAGTGTCACGATGCTATCTAATTTCATCACGGGGACGCCAACGTGAGAGATTCCATTCCGATGACTTTTCGCCAGTCATTTAGTTCCACTGTCGATAGCGCGGGTTCATTTTTAGATTCGTTGCCGACTACCACGTTCATATGACAAACTTGCCAGTGACAAGAAATAGAACGCGCAAATGACGAAGTCACATCAATGCGCTGAACGTAATGCATGTGCAGCCATTATATATAAATATAATTAAAAAAAGATTCGAATAGAAAAAGAATATGAGTAACTTTGTATCTTTATAATCAGTGTGCTATCGTTCATGATTATGATAAAATTTTATTTTAGTATGATGAAAATTATTATAAAGGATTTTAATCTGAAGATGTAGAACAGTAGGCTAAGTGCAAATATAATAAAAAAATTCGACTTATATTACTTATGTAGGTAGGTATATATTTTTTTATTATGATTATAACAATCTTTGATAATGGTAAATTAATTATAATGAGTTTCTATAGAAAATCTCACTTGTGCGAATTCGAATTCTCATATAATGCATTGTCGTCTTCGTTAATTTTCTGATCTCATCGTATAAAAACAAACATTATTGTGTAACAGCAATGTGCCAGATATAAGAACTAAGATGAAATTCGGTGCGGCACGCGTGCCTCTGATTACGAAAGAAGTATAGCATGTAATAAATGCTTTTTCTCGTCCTCTACACTGACTGTACATGTCTATCAGTCCTCATTTGGGAATCTCCGGCCTTGGATAATTCGATGATACTTTTTGCTGCATAATATTGTTGCAATAAATTGCATTTTTTTTTATCGTAGAAATCTTGGGTATCGAAATATAAATAGATGATTTAAATGACACGAAAATATTCTCAGTAGAGTAATAGCTTTTCATCAGCAGCACCACTCGGAAAATACGTGTCTGATCTGTCGTTATCACTTATCGGACTTCATATACTTCGATGATGTATCATACATAGCGTCGCGGCGCCCATGATAGCGTAGGCGTTTGTATAGCTCGACTGGGATGTAAGAGGATTTCAAGTAAGATGTGGTAGTGGCGACGATAGTGGTGGGCGAAACTCCAATCTCGAGGTAGCTTCACGATACCTCGCGCGTTTAGTTGGCGCGCGGCACCCCGAAGATTGGGACGGCGGATAGAGACACTCCGTGCAAGTAAAAAGAGAGTAGGATACGAGAAACAAGAAGCGAGACAGCGACGAGCGACCATACGACGAGTGACGACGACGACGCAAGACGAAGACGAAGACGATCGAATCTGAAAATAAGAAAAAAAGAGTTCCTCTTAATTTTCTCCGTTTTGTTCTCGCGCGAGCTTGTAGAATTTTCGAGCCGAGTCTCCCCAAGCCGAGTGTGTGCGTCTCATTGTCTGCCTCGGGAGGGTTGGAGTGATCCAGGAATAAGCGACTGTTCGCCGTCGTCAGGTGTCCGAAGAAACGCTCGGCCAGGTGCTGGGACTCGCACCTTTAGAAGGAAAAGCGCTCATCCTCTTCTGAAGACACTTCAAGTAAGTCTCTCAATGATGCATTGGATGCGGATGCGCACGTTGTGTGGCTGCGAGGGAGCGTGCGTGACGATTGCCGAATTCACGCGTGTCAGTGCGATTTCTCATCACACCTTGCCCAAACTCCTTTCAAATTCCTTCTTTTCCCCTTTCATCCCTCCATCGCCTGTTAATGTTGTTAACGTCAAAGATCGCGTGTGGATCAGTGCCGAAGTGTGAGCAACAAGTGACGGATCGGTTTCGCGCACGCTCACCTACAGTGAGTGATTCGCCAGAGGGTAGGTGAAGGGACAAGTGGATTGAGGAGGTATGTCACGCTCTCATAAGAAAATGATCCAGTTATCCTCGTAGATCAGTCGTTCCTTCTTATTTCGAATATACAATTAAATGTATCTGCAAAAGCAGATATGATACAGAAAACGAACGAATATTAAAAATTGAAAATGATCGAGAATTAAAAAAGAATGATGGAAAGCAAGTGTTAACGAATCACAATACACGCTGCAAGCTGTGACATCTTTCATTCTCGCTTAGATTTTGCCATTTTATAAAAATGGAAAAATTTGCTTAATTTCTATTTAAATTATAAATTCTTGTATTAAACACTTTATTTATTTATCTATTTATTATTTTTTATCTTTATTTTTTTTTATTTATATTATAAATTTTCAAGATTAAAAATGTAAATTGCGAAAACAAGACATTTTATCACGGTGATATTTGTAATTTTATTTTAGAGGATTGATAATATGGGTATGGATTTATCATTATCAAGTCTCATCACTATGGATATTAAATTTAAGCCTCATCAGATTGATATTAACTATTAATAATCCATATTAACATGGTGTAGTTTTAACATCATAGCTTTTCATCAATGATGTTATCACACTATGTTTATATCAACACCAACACGAGAGAATTATACAAGCTCATCGCATCATATTATTAAATTCATACTTATTTCTTTTAGAGTGATTATTCTGAATCTTCAGCAGTTTATACGATAAACAAGGGGTTAATTTCTGTCAACATTTACATTTATTTCGAATCTTTTTTAGTTACTAGTATTGCAATAATTTCCTCATTGTGTTTTCAATTACTCTTCATCATTTTGTCTCATTATTTAATTATTAAGAGAAATTTGGCTAAAGATTATAAAAAAATCTGAGTCCTATTTTCAATAAGTTCATAATGTAGACATAATATGTCTCTCGCGTTCGACAATCCTACTTTACATGACTAATCGCCACGAGTTCCGTCGCGGCGGCGGCAACTATTCGTAGACTACTATCTAGGTATCTAGGCTCGGAGTCCATTTATTTTTAGGAGGGCGTAACGTGAGGAGCAGTTCGTCGTTCCTACGACCAGCTTTTCGCTCGTGTCGTTGTTTCATACATCGTTTCGTCCATCTTCACATTATTGTATCGTCCGACACTTTGTCTAATCTTCATTTGCGATCTTGTCTTCTCATCGACTTCCTCTTCTTGGTCTTTCGCATCTCGTATTTATACGTTAATTTTAGTTATTCGTTAATTCAGAGCCTTAATAGAAGTTTTATTTGCCCATTTCTTTCTGTATCATCTCATTCCAATTGTGATTCTAATCATGCGATTTAAAAGAATATTCTAAACTATTCTAATCTATCTATCAATCTATCGATTCTAATTTATCACATATATCTTAATTTCTTGATAAATCAGTCAGTTATCTTTCCTTTACCGCTTTTTTATTGTTTTTTTTTATTATTTTTTATTATTTTTATATTGTTTTTATTTTCTTAATAATTGTTTAATAAAAAAATACCAGTTAAATAGAATAACATTTATTAATATAATGCAACATTCTTTGCAACAGATGTGCCAGAAATTTTCAAAAAAAAATTTTGTCAAGATTCAATTATACAGAAATTTTGAAGAGATGACGTATTTACTTTACAAAAGTTTTTTCCGCTGCCGTAATAATTGCAGATGCTATAATTCTTTCTTCTGACTTTAGCGATCGATGAGAATCTCAGAATGCTAACCGATTTAAAAATATCCCACATACCACAAGTTCTGCGAGTTTTGTTAAATTTGGAGAAGCCAGTTGGTAAAGAACGTAAAGAAAAGTTAAATCAGTACATGCGTTCCCATCTTGGAAAAAAATTTTAAAAATACGATTAAATCTGACAAATACAATGTTAAAAGCAAATAAATTTCTTTTTAGTATTAAATATACCTATATAATTATTAATTTAGGTTACAATTATTAATTAAATAAAATAAAATAATTAAAGTATTTTGGTTTAATTCTTACAACTGTTTTCAATATAAAGTGCTTAAGAGAATAATTTTAATTCTACGAAGATGAGAGAGGAAGATATTTTTTAGTTCAATTATATTTTTACTATTTTTAGATGTATCACTTTATGACTTTATTTGAATTGTTAAAATTTTTTCTAAGAATTTTAATGTAAATGATAAATTTTATCTTGAAAATTATTTCCTGATCAAATTTATTAAACGCAGATATATTTATTTGATTGATTGACTTGATATCTGTGTTAAGACGCTACTGAGACAAGATATTGAATTTCCTGTGATACGTACATTATTTATAATTAAAGTTGATATATATGAACATATTAAGAATGTTAAACACAACTGTATATGTATACATCAAATTCGATAAAGAAAGCCAAGATCAAATTTTGGATATTATAAATAATATATTCTTTTATTAATATATACGTTTTAATCGATTATTCACTCCGTGTATTTATGCATATTGACGTATTTTTGGTCATTGTCGACATTGTTACATTGTTAGTCAAGTGACTCGGTTACCTATCATAGAAGTCAGGCTTAAGTGTAAAGTGTAAAGATATTATTCTTGGCCGTATTTGTTATTTTCTGATTCGAACAAATTTGCTTCTTCTTTTTGACAATTAATTAATATATCAATGTGTTTTTTAATAAAAGAAAGAGGAAAAGAGTCATTAATCATAATAATTATTAAATTTTAATAAACAAATAATAATGGTAGATAAATCATTTAAAAATATATAAATACAGTTTTTAATTTTATAATTTTTATTTATGAAATCATTTAACTTTAGCGATGTTATAATCATCCGATATGTCAGTATTTCATTTACAAACAACCTCATTTCGTTTACTTGACTAATTAGTTTAAAGTTAATCTAATTAATTTACAACAGAAGGCTAACCTAGAATCATATTCTTGATCTTTTTTTTCAAATATTGCAAGACATATTAAATAAATGAAAAATTATTTAATGTTTGAACTTAAACATTTTCCGCATATTTTATTAAAACATCGTATTCTAATACATTTTATATGATTAACAAAAGTTACAAGATATTTTATAATTTAAATCGTTATCTTATTACTTCAAAATTTATTTCAAGCTTCTACCTATTTAAATTCGTTTCTATATTTGTATATAAAATTGTAATAAAATTGTTATTCTTATTTTATTTTTTACAAAATCGCGCACATAATCTAATAATTAATATGTGATATTACATTAACTAAGAAGTTATCAAGTGAACCTTTCATCACAGCAACGTCATTTAATATAATTTCTGATTTTGTGACCGGACGTTTTGCCTCATTCTGCCAAAAAGTCGAGTGCAAATGCTTGTTTACAGAATTTCTCGCGTTTTATCGCAGATAGATCGGGACGTCGATCGGTGATTTTAGTGCTGCTGTCGACTCGTTTGAGTCAGTCGGCGAAAATAGACGCACGGTGCGTCGCAAGTAACGCGGTCAGTAGTATGGTAAAGTGCGCCTGCGAAAATGCATCGTACGACTAATAATTATAACCCTCGCGAATAGAATTTAGTTCCGGATATGACTTCACCTTGAATGTAGACTATTCTACTATTCAGAAGTGAATCATTGCTATGTGACATAAGCTTTTTTTATAAATCGTTAAACATCTCAGAAACTAATTATAAAATTTAAATTTTTGATTATATTAAAAAAATGATAATTAATATTATTCATATATATTATCCATGTTTTCTTCTTATTCAAGAATTAAAGTTATGGTATATTGAAGCAATGATTCAATGATATTTAAAATATCTTTAATATTTTAATCCAATTTTTATTATAATGCTATTATTGTTGCATTCTTTAATTATAATTTTTTTTTCTTAATTCGCGTGTTGAATTAAATTCCTTAATTCGCGTTATGATTTAGATTCCTTTTTCCTAGGGAAAGCATGTGATTAAAGATGTGAATCATTTTGCTACAATGCAGTACATTATATAGAATGGTAAATATTTTTAGATTACTTACTTCACATGATTCTTAAGAGTGAGTGGGTGCATAATAGCAGGTGTATTAGTCACGCTTAAATACATACAGTTAATTCGATAAAAATAGATATATTGAAGATTATTATTCGTAGTACAAGTATCTTACATAAAAATTTAAATTCAATTTTATGTCAGAATGCTGATATCAAATTTTATCATTTGTATATATGTTAGAGCGGTCGTATAAACTGTCTCGTAAATTCATAACGATGAAGAAAGGAGATTGCTTGGTACAATGCACGTGGCTCAGAAATTTTGCCAAAAGTAATTGCGTCTTTTTAACGATGTTGATGATACTTCAGTGACAAACGCTCATTGAACGTTTATTCCCATTGTGAGATTTTAACAGTTTACATTGCAGTGTCCCATTCTTAATTTTTGTTTCCTTTTGTTTTCTCTTACCTTTATATCTCCTTATATCTACCTTATATCTTCTTAACTTTATTAATTATAATATGCAATCATAATATCGATTCTATTTGTTTTATAGAATTGTTTCGTTATATAAAGCACTTATATATCTAATGATAATGTGCTACATTTTTATTGGGTCAAAGTATCAACAAATATGTATTGTATCACAAATAGCCGACAGAATTATGCCAAAGTGAAGCAACACTTTCTATATAGCCAGCAAAAATATTAGGTCAGTTGGATGCCGACATTCTCTCACGTACAATGTGCTGACATTTTCGAGGATTTGAATAACACATTTCTCGACCGATATCTTAACATTCTTAATGATTCTAAAATTTTTTTATCGTTTTGTTTTACTTAAAAAATAGTAATATATTTTTTAAAACAATAACATAATTTTAAAAAGTTTTTCTTATTATTTAAATACAATAATTTTTTTACTAAAAGACACAATTAATATTTTCTATGAAATGCGTAAGTTCTAGTTTTATATTTCTAGTTTTTAATACACAATAAAGCAAGTTATACATACTATTTAAACAAGCAAGTTATACATACTATTTAAACTTCCTACGTTATTTAGGTGAAAAAGCATTCAACAACAAGTAAATTTTGTAGGAGCAAAAGCATATTACAAACTCAGAGAAATAAATGTTTATCTTATTATTAATAGGAAAAACAATTTTTCTCGCACGTTGAATTCTTAAATTAGTAAAAAGATTAATACAAAATTTTTTCAATCAAACTTTATGAATATTTTAAAATCTTGTAACTCTTTTGTATTTTTTTTTCTTTTTGAAAAATCAATCGTCAGATGGTAATCGCGATGCGAAAATCAACATGCAAAAGAGCTGGAATGCGAACGGCTGTTACGAAGTATAGTAATTTCGGGAATGCATGTGGAGGCCACTTGCCAAGTCTTACTGTGACGTTGTAATACTCAGTCCATCCGTTTTGTATGTCATTTCGTCGGTCCGTTAAGTCTCCCTCGCAACTGCTTGGTCTCGTCTCGTCGAAAAGCTCAATTATAAATCGTATTACTCGCTCAATTATAAATCGTACTAGTCGTAGAATATGACATTAAATCCGCAATACACACACACACACACACACACACACACACACACACACACACACACACACACACACACACACACACACACACACAATATAAAGCAGCTGTAAAAATCTATTTAAAAATTTGCGTATAGAATTAACCATATTTATTAATTTCTGCTAATTAGAACTAGTGGATATGTAAATTCTCTTTGAAGAAAATTCTCTTGAGAAAAAGGAATAATGAAGAAACAGCTTTTTCTGCTAAACGCAGCCAATGGAACTTTTATACATGTTTAACATCGATATTGTTGGATCGATAGCTCCTTTATCTTTTCATTTGTGTTATAATTCGTTTATTTGGCACTTCTCGAGACAGTGCGAGCGAAGCCAGGCGTATCATATTTCTATTGCCTAGCTGGAGCTGACATAATAGGATGATTTGTTTCACAATTTTGTGGCTCGGACGATGGCAACCGACCAATTACGCGAATCTCACGTTACCGGAAGGATATCGTCTCGTGTCCCAACACCTACCCTTGCACTTGGCAGTCTTCTCCGGCACACATCACGCAAAACTAATTCATATATTCTGAAACGATTGTCACCTATATTTGCACAGTTTATCAATCAAATTTAAACTTATCTTATATTCTATTTATAATTATTTATGATAATTAAAATTATAGATAACTGCTTGAGCTTGTTTAAGCTGGCATTCTATCACATTCGTAAAAATAACAATTAGACATAGAATCTGAGAAATTTTCTTTCTTACGGATACAAAAAAAAGCAAACTAAATAGAATATTAATTTTCTACTTAAATACGTCATTATTTTGTAGCTATAAAGAATTCCAACTAACTTCTCTAATTAATTTCTTTGTATTTTTATTATTTTTTAATCATAAACATTTTGGTTCAACATCCAATCTTAATAACATCAATATTTTCTGATAATAAGATTTTCTATTGATTGATTGAAATGATATAGAACATTTATGTTTATTCATGTATTAGGAAATTATTGTTAGAAAACATAATAAAGTTGCAAAAGAAAACAGGTGCAGAAAATTGGTGTCATCGTGCGTTAGACCACGTCACGCTATACGTCACATGAAAATGATCTAGTCACGTAGCTGATGATCACTTAAGCGAATCGACACTTCTGGCACTTAAAGGCGTCGTGCGATGCCACGGGTTTCAAAGGAACGATTGTCCGAACTTGCGCGCGAACATATTACATCCGACGGGTTGTATCGCGACTCAAATGTACGCGGTTTCTACGGTTAGATGCCAAACATAATAACCGATTACCAAGATAACTGGCCTAACCTATTTTCGAGCCAAGAGCCGCATTAATAATAGTGGCCTTACGTCACCCCACGGCTCCCTCGGCCTTGAGATCTCGCGGGAAAATACTCGCTCAAGCTCGAAGAAGCGAGATTCGCACGAATTCTGTGAAAATTTGTCGTTCATCACGCTCAATTTGCAGTTAAACGTAATCGGTTTAATGGTCCTGTACATCGACGGTTCGAGATGACCTGTCATCGCCGTCGTTGCCGCCATCACCACCGCGTTGGTACCTGCTGAAAATAGGCCCGACACTCATAAATTACGAGATCCTTTCGACGTGGCGATAGAGGAAAAGCAAGCGTCGCTCATTCCCATCGTAGTATTTCGCAATGAAATTATTATTAGACCGTCACGAAAATAATTTGCAATTTTTAAATTTCGCATTTCTGCAAAAGAAAATTGATACGTACAGTTTTTACGGTTCTTTTTTCGTGGTACATAATAGTGTTTACTATTTTGAAGAGAAAATTTATATCGAACATTAATATAATTACAATCAATGATAGATTGATATTCCTTTAGTCTGTAATTAGTTTGTCAGTAATTAGAAACAGAAAGAAAAAGAAGTTTCAAAATATTTCTATTAGTTGAAGACTTCAAAATATTTTAATTATTTTATTGATTTTATATGTACATTTCAAGATATTACTATAATGTTTGATAAGATAATGTTGCATTTTGGCGAATGTGTAATTTTTGAGAACTCGGTCTCTGTCGCTTTGAACGATCTGAAAATACGAACGATTTGAAAATACGATCGCTTGGCAAAATATATTGTCAGAAACACCTGGATACTAGATAAACCATATTGAAACAGCACGCATATGCGTAATTTATTATTTTGGAAGGATTCGCATTTTCAGCAGCTGAAAATCGTAAGCGCAAAATCACAATCTACAGCCAAGAGTTGAAGAGCAATTTCGAGTTTCGCTCATTTACTGCGAGAATACGACGATCATTCCGTACTTCCTTTAAATTATGTAAACATCTATTTTGAATTTATTACACACGATAAATTATTCTTGAACGTTTTTTCACTGTCGCGGCCGAAGAGTCGCTTCATTTCGCTATTTTCTGGCGATCTTCCCTTCGAAGATCAACCACAGTGACAAAGTCGCGTTTAATTCCAAGAAATTTATTTAACAGTTCATATTTCTTTCAGCGTTTTTCTAATTTTATTCGTATAATTGATTCTTTCCGAGTCTTATAATGATTGAGAACTAAAATTCACTTGTTTCCGCTTTAACTTTCTTTCATCAACGTATTCATTCATCTAGGATGAGTACCTATGTAGGAACCTCATCATGTCTTACCACGTTCATAAGGCGACGTTAAAGAAAGCTAAGTATAGGTATCTGTATAAAAATAGCTGCGGGTGAGAGAGAAGCAACTATAGGTGACAGCAACTCAGACTGCCAAGGTTTACTGAACCGCGATGACTAGACTCGAAGTATAATCGATGCTGTCACTCCGAACTCTGAACTGCAAATACACGTTGAGCAAAACAGAGTAACGATATTCGAATTAGTCATTATTGTTTAATGACAAATTAAAATTTTGAGGGGATAAAGATAAACGAGATTGTATTCCTTGGTGAATTTTAAATTTTAAAATAACTTTATATCTTCCCTATCAGAATTTTAGTATAACAAATCAATTATTAATTACTATTGAATTTAAAAAATTTTAAAAGGAAATTATATTCCATTATTGATAAATATAGTTTCATTAAAACAAATAGTTTCAGAGCATAATGCTTTTATTGTGGCAGCAAAGACTAATATGTATATAGATATGCATTTTAGAACAATATTGGAAATAATGCATATATAGCTATTCAATCGTATATTTTAATCTTCTTTATATTTAGTCTTTTTAAAGAAAATATTAATTTTACTTTCTATATATATATGTTGCAAAATTTAATAATTAAACTGTGCCTAAAAATAAGTGTTATATATAAATGTTGTATAGGTTCATATTGTAGAAATTTTATTAAAAGTTACAATTAAAAAATATGAAAGTTTAATGATATGGAAATTTAGTGCAATTTAGATGTTTTAGGATTTAAAACCTGGGACATCTTGTATATTAATTGCCATATTAATGTAATGTATTGTATTTCTTTTGCTTCTAGTATTCTCAAAAGTGAAAAGCGAGTAAAAGTGAACGTCGAGCTCAGAAGAAATCCGCGACAGAAACAGGTTGGATGGTGCCGCAGGTCGGCGCCATTTAAACCGACGAGCTGGGCGAAGGAGCTATTTCCTTCCTTAAGTCGCGGGTGTGAACACGCAAACGGGATCTTCCAGGTCTCGTTGTAAAGACAGGTGCGAAGGCGTGCCTCCACAATGGGGGTCGCCGACGACCTCGCGCCCAGCTTTACGCAAAAGCCGCAATTGCGGCAGGAAGACGACGGCAATCGGCTGATATTCGAATGTCAGCTAGTGAGTTCACCTAAACCCGACATTTCCTGGTTCCGCGGCGAGACCGAACTTAGCGAAGATGACAGGACCAACTTCAAGGTGCAGAGTGTCGGAACCAATAAGTTCCTGGTGGTACTCGAGCTCGACGATGTCATCGAGACCGACGCAGGCCTCTACAAGGTCAAGGCGAAGAACAAGATGGGCGAGGTCGCTGCCTCTATCAACCTCAACTTTAGTCGTAAGTATTTATAGCGTATTTTCTT